TTATGGATAATTGGTTGTAGGCGTCATGCCTTGTTGCACGGTTGTTGCGCAGTTGTTGTTGTTGTGTAATAGTTGCATCTCATAGCATATCATTTGGCCTGGATTGGCGACGGTTGTGTCTTTAATAACAAAATAAAATTATTGTGGAGAGTTGTCTCCCGAATTATTGTGGAGAGTTGTCTCCCGAATTATTGTGGAGTGTTGTCTCCCGAATTATTGTGGAGAGTTGTCTCCCGAATTATTGTGGAGAGTTGTCTCTCGAATTATTGTGGAGAGTTGTCTCCCGAATTATTGTGAAGTGTTGTCTCCCAAAATGGTACCACATGCATATGCACAGTTGAGTTGCATTGTTGAGTCGCATTGTTGAGTTGCGTTGTTGAGTTGTTTCGATGAGTTGTTGAGATATGATGATAATTGTTGTGGTTATGAATAAAGAGTTGTTGTAGTTTATTATTACTAATATTTATGCGAACTGCCAGAATTATGATGTTGTGATAATATTCTGACATGACTTTTATCATGCCTTATGTTATATTGTTGATATCTCACCCTTTACGTTGTATGTTACCTCCGTTGGTGGTAATTTTCAGGTAACTCGGAAGAAAGTGTCGTTTTATGCTTAAGGTCGTTGGTCGCTCTGATACGTAACTTTGGGAGGGGGGGGGGGATGAATGATTAATGTTATTGTTTTAATTTAATTCCTTGTTGCTGAATTTTATTAAGTACTATGACAAATAGATTGGTTGTTCCTGATAATGCCAAATGTTGCTTGGATGCATAGTTGTTTTAGTGAATTGATGCAAGATGATTTCTTGCTGAATTTTAATGGAATTTAATTATTACGAATCGTTGGAAGTGTATTATAACATGTCGTTTTATGATTAAAATGTTAAACAAATTATCGTTGTTTGTTCATCCGAATTTTGTGCTACGTATGTTAGTAAATGATCTTTGGCAGGTGTATGTGTTTTGGTTAAGTGTTGAAATGTGACACCTCTGATGCGTCCCAGATTTTGGGAGTGTGACGGTCGTCACCACTCCATGACGCTCGTCATGACCGTGACGGTCGTGACATCCATGATGGTCGTCATGAAACTTTATTTGCTGCACTCTGAATTGTTTCTATTGTTTGTCTTATTTTTCCGCGATAGTTTAAAGTGGGGTGTTACAATATCCAATGTTTCCTTGTCTACCCAGTTAGTTGAGATATCTCTTTTCGCCTATCAAAGTATAGTTGGCAAAAAAATCCATAGTAAGAAACTTTGTGAAACCAAGAGTTATACGAATAATATGGCCTAAACAAGCAAGTTGAAGATGTTAGATTCATCCCTTAAAAGAGAAGTAGAAGTATCGATAGCTCATTATTTAGACAACCGTAAAAAGAGGCGAAAGTAAGAAGAAAATGTTGGATTTATCTTCAAGGAAAACAAATCGATTATCACATATGAATGACAAAAATCACATATGAAGTTAACTAAAAACTGGAACAACAAAAATAACAAGAAATAATGATGGTAGAAAGCATAACAAAGTTACGCTGTAGGTTGCTAATGAAAAAAAAGAAGTTAAAATGTTATTTCATAATCCCCTTAAATGTGCCTTATCTAATAAGGATCACATATTCCACTACGCACCACTAACGACTGAGATTTCATCGAAGATTGTTCAAAGTACTAAAGTACTTTAGTAGAAGAGAATCACCGTCACCAGTTGGCATATATACACACGTCGTTTATTCTCAACGAAATGTTACATATTACAAGAAAGGTATTTGATACGCCTGATCCCAATGATAAAGACATCATGTAAAAGGATCTCACCTCCCCGGACCAAGCAACCCAGATAACGCATGTATGTCAAACCCTTATCCTACAAAGCAGGGATAATAGCTTGAGAGGTAACTATTCCGGGTCATCCACAAGGCCCAAGACGAAATGCCCAATGGTCAAACAAAAGTAGTAAAATGTGCATAACAGGTAGACCTCTATTCCCCTAGAAGTTGGTAATTCCACCTTCAAGAGCTTTACAAACCATCCAAATCAATTTGACGATTGACCGTGACCTATGTCTCACTCCATGATTTCTGTTGAGAAATGTCCCCACTATTTAAGAACAAAGGCGCACTATTTCTCAAATATTCAAATTCATTGTCACTCTCACGTCACTTTTTGTTCTCTTACTGACTTGAGAACTAGAGTGCTAACCTTGCAGGTCAACCATTATCCCCTATATCAGAAGCTCAAGTCCACTATAGTAAGCACCACTTAATCGTTCACTGAACAATTTTGATTCTACCATAAAACACAAACCTATGAGCGTTCACATTGAACAAAATCACAATATGAGTTATGAGAAGGAAAATGTCAAAGTTTACAAGGTACAATATTAGAGATTACTAAGAAAGTTTATTTACTTAGCTCATACTAGACCAATTTTGTCTTGTGCGGTTAGTATATGACGATTCAATTTGTGCTTGGTCCAAGGGTAATACACTTACAAAAATGTAGACTAAGTTCCAAAATATATCAAAGCTATTATGACAGACAAAACTCATATTTAAAAGAAGTGGAAGCCAGACTATGGAGGTGCGTGCTTATGCTAATTATGTAGATTCTGACTATTGTACCTTTTTGAATGAGAACCTTGTTGTTTGGAGGAGTAAGAATCAAAGTGTTGTGGCACTACTAAGCACTGAGACATAATTTACAACAATCATATAAGAAACTTGTGAACTATTATAGATGAAACTAATGCTAAAAGATTTAAAGATACAATGTGAAAGCCTTATGAATTTTGTGTGACAATAAATCGGCTATTAGTAATGCATACAATCTTGTTCAACATGAGAAGACTTTATTTTAAAAGAAGTTAGACAATGGATTTAGGCATGACAAAAAAAATCGACCCCGATCGGACCCGACCGCTCCTACCCCGAATCTAATGAGAAAAAGCCGATTTAGTTGAGACGGAGGCGAGTTCGAGAAAAACCCGATTTTTAATTACGGGCGGCAGATGCAGGTGCAGAAAAAAATCCAACTTTTAATTATGGAGGCATGGGATTCTAATGTCCACCCTGCCCCCTCCTATTAAAATTTTAGTTTATCTTTATTTTTTATAATTTATTATCTATTAACTATTTTTAATCTTAAAATGTCAAGTTTATTATAATCATAATTATTATTTTTAAATAAAAATTAAATTAAAATGGTAAAGTATTATAACTATTTTTAAAATGATTAATTATTTAGTTTAATTATTAATTTTTATTGTTATGAAAAAGTTAACTATTTAATAAAAAATTTAATTTATGCAGGTGAAGGCGAGGGCAGAGAAAAAAAACCCACCCGTTCTTGGAGGTGGAGACGGAGGATAAATTATTACTCCCGATGTGATCTAGAGACAGAGATACGACTAATATAGAAAGACGGGGACAAGGTTGGTAATTATTAAATCCGCTTCATTGTCATATATAAATGGATTCTATTAAGTTGGATTGGCCTATTTTTAAGCTTGTACATTTAATCCTACATTAAGGAAAATACTTATCTACACAAAGTCCTAAATTAAGGTAAATGTAACAATCAAGAAGGTAGCTACACCTTTAATACTAGTTAAAAAGGAAGAAAAATCCTACACTTAGTGAATATGGCAATGGAAGAACCATGTCAAAAAAATCACACAGAAAGGACATTGCATATCTACTATCTATCTAATAAAAATCAATAACATGAATTCGTTAAATTACTCTTTTACTATAAATTATTTATACTAAAAAAATATTTAAGTAGTCAAATAATATTTATCTTTTTCATTGTCATCTCCTATCACATTATAATATGTGTCCAATTTTTCAATTTTCGTAATTAAATCACAATTAAAATATTACATTTACTCGTTCTCTCTTTTGATTCAAAATCTAAATATATCTTTCTCTCTTTTGATTCAAATTTTAAATCTCTCTCTCTAATAATTTTTTTTAATTTTAATAAAATTAACAATTTATTTTATCTCACACTATCAAGACAATATCTATTTTATTTTAGTCAACCATTACTTTAATTTGAAATACAAAATTCTTATTTCTAAATATTAATTTTTTTCTTTCTCCATCTCACTTTTTTTTGTATGATTATTTAATACAATTATTATTCATTTTACAATTAAGTAAATCATTTCAAATTTTGCATTTATATCTAAATACATTTTATATCATTTTAACTTTTTTATCTTACCGGTCATTTAATCAACAATTTGTCTTCATTTGAAAGACAAACTATTAAAAAAAAAAAATTTCTTCTTCTCACAAGTCACTTTTTTCTTTTTGCATGATTATTTAATACAATTGAATCTATATAATTAGTTTTCATCTTTCAATTAAATAATTCATTTCAAATTTATACGCATATATATATATATATATATATATATATATATATATATATATATATATATATATATATATATATATATATATATATATATATATATATATATATATAATTATATTATTTTGTTTCACATATCATTATCATCAAATACATATTTTATTTTAGTTAAATACTTAAAAAGATAAAATCTTTATTTTTAAATATTAAATATTAATTTTTCTTTCATCACACATATTCTTTTTTAAGATTTTATATAATTATTATTTATTTAATAGTTAATTTTAAATTTAAATCTATATCTAAATATATTTTTATAATGTATGGAATAATTTAAATGTGCGGTCTGATTAGTTTTGAATTTATGAAAAGAAAAGTTATAAATTTAAAAGGATGGAAACTTGTTTATAGAGATAATAAAGAAAAGGAGAAAAATAATGGACAGGGTCCAGCTGGACCATCATAATAATGTTAGTGAAACCAACGAGAGCCAGCTGGAGGGGTCCACTGCTCCACCTGCACGCAAACCTGACCGAGTTGGCTCATCTCAACTCACCTCTTAACTCGTAACCCTTCCCTTCCTTCCCCTGTCGAGTTTTCGAACGGTTGAGCACGATGCAGACGCCAGACCAGATCGACGGCGAGCAATCTTCGCCGGTTCAACCGGCCGATCAAGAAATACTCACCAAGAGAGATTACATCAACTTCCTTTCTCACCCCTCTCTTACCAAGATTTTGCAAAAACAAGGTTAACCCTAATTTTACACTCATTCCCAATTTGTTGATTTCATCATCGTTTAGCGTTTTTGAGCCCTATCAATTAACGATTCTGAACGTCATTTGAATGAATAATCATGTAATTTAGGGTTGTTAAATAATTTTTTATTCTTTATTTACAGGGGACCAGGAAGTTCTATTTGCTGATAAAGTTTTGAAGTTTACTAGTTCAGGGAAGATGAAAAGCCGCATTCTTTTGATTACAGATTTTGCCATTTACATTGTTGACCCGGAGATTGATTCTCTTAAACGGAGGATAGCACTTGCAGCTGTTGATAAGATCTGTATAAGTAAACTAAATGATAACTTTTTGGCTGTTATAATTCCGACTGAGTATGATTTACTAGTTGCGAGTGCTCGAAAGATTGAAATTGTTATTGCTTTTAATGAAGCTACTAGGAAAGCATCTGATTATGAACTTGAGGTGGTTTCTTCCAATAGGTAACTCCAATTACAACTATTTCTACTACATTATGGTTGTTTAATCCTTTGTTGCTTACTTACTTGAGTATCTTTGTCTTCAATACACAAACATGGTTGCATTGCATTAAAACTTTTGCTATGGTTTCTTAAGGATATCTGCATAACTTCTTAGAAGTTGTTTTATTTTTGTACAAATACTCTAGAAATAGCAAACACTTGAATTTTCTTGTTTCATCAAACCTGTGATACATGTTTGCTTTGTTGAGCTGCATTCTTCTGGTGGTATGTGTTACTGATTGGAGTTTGCAGTATGAAAATAAAATATAATTCAGAGGCTGTATGCCCGTGTTATCCCATTTATTTTACGATCTCTGGTTATTTATCTTTGTCTATCTTAGGACGGTAAAATGGGCGCTTGTACGGAATATTTTGAGTGTAGTCCACATGTACACCAGTAACGCAACTGGGTATACCCAGTAGCAATAGGGAGAGGAAAATAATCTCTCCATTCACCCTGTTCCCTCAGTGTTATCTTCCTTTCCACTTTACTCAGATCCTTTCGTCTCCCTCAAGCTATCTAAAGCTCCCATAGTCATATCTGCTATATTTCATCTTACTGCTTAAAAATCTCCTGATCCCTTCTCCCGCTCTTCTCCAGCTTTGCCTTCCTATGAGACTAATGAACCACAAAAATATATAAATGCCCTAAGTAAGAGTTTTCAAGCTTTTGGGGTAGGAAGGGACCAGAGTACAGATTTGGAATCCGATTTGAAATCTACAAATGTTAAATAGGAACCATTGTTTAGTTGTCTCTTCCTTCTGGGAAAGGTGACGAAGGTGCTAATTGTTGTGTGGAATGGGGTCTGGTGAAGCTTAGCCAGCTAGCCTAGTTCGCAAGCAGAGGTTTTGGCCAAGCCTGTTGTGGTTTTCGGTGATGGTTTTGTGATCGACTGAGATGTTGTAACTAACAGTAAACTCACACATCTCCTCCCTTCTTTTAAAATTTATGCATTTGGGTGTTGTAGACCAGAACCAGTGTTGTTGATGGCGGATGGCAGTCCATGGTGGAGAGCCAAATCCCGCCATACCGGCCACTTTGGGCGCTGTTATTGCGGATTATGGCAGAAAAACCCAAAATAGCGGTCGATATTTATCATTGCGGAAAACTCAAAAACCGCAATGTATATCCGCCATAGCGGCCATGGCGCCGCAATTTGATAACATTGATCAGAACAACTTTTTTGCTTATTCCATTCTCTAAGTGCGCTTTAGGTTGCTAATATGACCATTCAAAAATCACTACATTATGTTTTCTTCCATAATATGTATGCCTAAGACACCATTATGTCTTGTGTCAAAAGCACCATTCACCCTGTGTTCATGGATTGAGTAATGGATTAGAACCATATTAGCAATTTTCCAAAGGTAATGCAGTTATAGGTTTCCAGTGACAAATCATATCCATCCAATAAAAGTATATTATATCCAATGATTAAAAACACCATAATAAACTGTTTATTCATGGTCCATCATATACATTGCCTTGTAAGGTTTTGTCTGGTACAATTCTCTCATCAGTTTAAAGTTATTGGTTATGTGTGAGAATTATGGAGGATGGGTTGCTAACACGAATTCCAAGTAATTGATAAAAGATCTCCGACTTATTTATCCTCCAGCATTACATTCTCAAACTCGTATGGAATTCCATTTGGAAACAGAATTCATTTTTATCCTCAATTATCTGTGTTTAGAATGCATGTCACTTATCACTATCCCACCTCTATTGTCATAAAATTCAGAAAGTAGGTCCTATTGTCCTAACATAAAAATGACACATGGGTACACAATAGCATATTCCTGCATTGCAGAAGTCTCCAACACCACTGCATTCTCTCGTCCCTTAAGTCCATGAGTTCTATTAGATGACTAGAATTATAATAATGGAGTCCATACTGTTATGTTTCCTGAAAACACATTTAAAGGGGCCTGTACTTAATTTGATTTGTGTTTTGTGCTGTTTTTGTCAAAATGTACTATTGTAAATTCTGTTGAGACCGTTACAAACAGTTATCGTGAAACTTTCTTGAGTTTCAATCTACCACTAAAGACATGTTTTGCAATTCCTTTGTAGGTTTGAGTATAATGCAGCATCTGACTTGGTCAAGGAAATTGAATTTGAGGAAGTTGAAGGTATGTCCCAAAAGTTTTTGTCTAGTCAGTATGGACGGAGAATTATCATCTACTTCTCCATTCCATGCTTTGTCAATTGTGGCTTATAGTATTTTCTGCGATATTTTTCTGAAGCTTCTTTTATTTATGTTTTAATAAATTTCAGGGGGTGTCAAAACAAGAATTATGAGGAAGTGAATTTCATTTTGCATTTTTGCGGTGATATCTGTAAACTTGGTAGGAGATACGTACAGGACATGATTTTTTATTGATCGTTTGGGAAAGGTTCTTCTGGGCATAGCTTTCCCTTTCCCAAGGTTAATAGTATCAGAAATTTCAAAAGAAAAGAAATGTATATGGGATGTAAGTTTCAGCTTAAAACCAGGTTAAGCTGTGTGTATGATAGAATTAAATCAAAGTTTTAGGAAATAATATGTAAGTTCTGTCAGTGATTTTTACCTTCGCATGTAATCTGTTTGGGTTGTCTCTTTAGTAGATTGTTTTACATGACCTAGTTAGTATGTTGATGTTATAGCCTCTTTGTTTTCAAGTTGAATATAAATTGGATGGTCCGTAGGGTGTGTTTGGGTTGATGATGGTACTGGATGAAATGGAGTTGTAATCTGAACTGAATAGTTGCCTATTGAAATGATATCACTCTAAGTAGAGGGAATGCTGAGCCTGTTAGTCTTTACAAACTAAATGCACATGAGAAATAAACTCACCAGTTTATGTCTAACTTGTAAGTAGATAGCAAATGGCGAAAGTATAGAGTAAAAAAGTCTCTAATTTGGTCATAAAAGTAAAGTTAATAAACTCTGTTCCAATTGTGTGTACAATTCGTTTTCATTCCAAGCACAAGATTGCATAAACTGTACAAGATTCAATAAAAATTCCAGTATTTTTTTTCCCTCTACCAGTGATAATTCTGCAGTGTTTTTGCAAGATTCAATATAAGTTGTCAATTTATAGATGAAACTGCTTTAACTACTAGGTTAATTGTTTTAAATTGAATTATTACTTCACAAACGAAGAATTGTAAGGGTGAAAAAACAATTATTTTCAACTTATTATTATATGTCTGCAGCTCAAGACAACATTAAAAATGTTTTTAAAACTTGGGTTCCATATTGATTGTGGATTCGAACACCAAAACTCCACAAATCAATAATTTAAATAATCTCTCTGAAACTAAAGTAAGAAATAGAAAAGTATTTAAGTTGCACAAATAGTTGGAGTAGAAACTTCTGATCTAGACTCGGGACAAATCCCTTCCATCATTTTCACAACTTCAGACATTTGTGGTCTCTGATATGGCTTTCTTACAGCACAATTTATCCCAATCTGCAGCATCTCCACCATTTCTTCTTCTACATTTGAATACTTCCAAAGCTCCACGTCAAATACCTCTGCAGTCCATTCCTCTTTAACAACAGATTTCACCCATCTAACCAAGTCAACAACCTGTTCCCCATCTGAAGCATATAAAGGTGATTTCCCAGTTAGAAGCTCAAGTAACAGAACACCGAAACTGTATACATCAGACGACTGCGTTGCTTTACGCGTATCGGTTACTTCTGGCGCGCGGTATCCTGTTACACTAGTGTCTGCTAAAGGTACTGAACTCATCAATGTTGCTAAACCTATGTCAGATACACAGCCATATCCCTGTGAGTTGAGGAAAATGTTTGAGGCTTTTATGTTTCCATGAACTAGGTTTCCTCGCTGAGCATGGATGTGAGCAATGCCTCTTGCTGTGCCGACCGCGATCCTTAATCTGCTATCCCAGTCTAGAGAAGTGCTTCCTTCTCCTCTTTTGACTTCATGATTTACATGCAAAACAAAGACTACATTATCCACTTTCATATGTTGCAATATTGATAATGTAAATCAAGATAATTGAATCAGATTAAGGGTTGTTTGTTTTGTTTTTTTTTAAATGATTTTAATAGTGAAATAAAATTTTGTAAAAAAACAATTTACAAAGAAACTTTAAATGAAAAATTTAATATGAATAATTATTTTTAAAATATTATTTTAAATATTTCATAATTTAGATATTAAAATTTCAAAAAATTACTTAATTTTGAAGCTATTTCAAATAGCTTTTCATGAAAATCATTTTTAAGATATAATTTTTTTCAAAAATTGTAATTTTGACTATATTTTACTCTTCAACAATATATGTTTATGTTATACGATATCAAAATTAGTCTTTCAATTTAGAAAAAATAAATATAGAATAAATTGTAATATTTTAAAAAACAATTTTACAAAATCCATTTTTAAAAAAATTAAACAAAAAACTCTATTTTTTAAAGCTAAAAGAAACAGACCCTAAAATCCCTTACCAATAACAAGAGAGTCTTGTTAAAATCTCAACCACTCGTTTATCTTGACCGAACCCCCAAATCCGATAACAATAATGAAGTGGTTGAGATATAACAAGACCCTCTTATCGATCATACGGAATTCAATTATCTAAAACATCTATGATCTCAAGAATTTACGAAATAAAAAATGGATTAAAGAGAAAAGATTCAACAACATACCATGTAACATGGAAGAAACACTGCCTTGTTGATAATAATCAGAAAGAACTAGTTTCTCATCCTTTGAATAATAATAAGCTTTTATTGCATCCACATTTTCATGCTTAAGTTTCCCTACAACTTCCATCTGTTGTTCAAACTCCTTTTTCCCCACAGCAACATCTCTCAATCTCTTCACCACCACAGTGGTTGCATCATCTAAAGCAGCTCTATATGTTGTACCAAACACACCCTTTCCAAATACCTCAGCAGAAGCTCTCAGAAGGTCCTCCAGATCAAATGCAAAATGATTACAATCCGCGAAAAAGACGATTTTGTCGTCTTTTTCTCGACTTGTAGAAGTTTTTGCATTCACAGATGCTTCTTTTTTCTTGGATTTCACAGGTTCAGTTACACCTGAAGCACAGTCTTTGCAGCACAGAACCATGATATATGAAATCACTGCAAATCCAAGTGCATAAACAACAATGATTTCCCAATAATTCAGTTTCACTGAATCCTTTGGTTTTTTATTATTATAGAAAAAATTATATAAAGATTTTTTTCACATCCTTCCATTTATAACAGCATAAGAATGTCAATTAATTATTATATATTATTAGTGTTAATGAATTATATATGTTGTTTAATAATATATTACTCCATTATTCTAATCAATACATAGTTATATTACTTTTGTAATAGCAATGTATAAAATTATATTAGTTATTAAGAATATATGTTTGACTGAATTAATATATATTAATGGCACTAGTAGATAGTAAGTTTTTTTTATTTTTTTTTTTTTTTTTTGGGTACAAAGTAGATACTAAGTATTAATTTAAGTATATACAGCATTTTAGTAAATTATTTTTTTAAATTAGTTTAATCAAGGATAAAATATATATTATTTTCTCGTTCAATAATATAATATCTTTTTTAAAAATTGTTGATTTATAATTTCAATAATTTATTTAAAATGGTAAATTATGAAAAAATACAAAGAAATACTGTAACGATAAATTCAACTTTGCATTCATTAAAATATATATTTTAAAAAAATGATATGGGTTTGACTATGTTTTAATATTTAATAATATATAACTATATTATTGAATGTGAACATTATTTTTTTTTAATTTATGAAAAATAATTTTAAAATGACTTCTATTATTTGAAAAAAGACTATTTTTAAAAATATATAAAAAAAAATATTATTTTTACATCTGGTGCTGATTTATTATATAAGATACAGAGTAATAACTTTTAAATTATTACAAATATTTGACTTTATCATTGTTATTTTTTGAAATGACAAATAAAAATTAAATTTAAATACTATATTATTTGATAAATGTTGTAGAGTTTTCATTTTCCATGAAATTTATTCTTTCAAAGGGAATGCTTACCCTACTTCTCTTTACAAACCGAAAACACACACAAACTCATAATTTTATCTCTAACAGCAAAATGCAAAAGCTATAAAATAGATAGCAAGGGTGAAAGTATGTATTGAGTACAAGTAAACACAGTCTATACTCTCTAGTTTAATCAAGTATGATCAGTTTACAATTTATTGAATAAAAAGCTTCAAAATATGATCTGACCTGACCAGAAAGGGATCGCTGGCTGCCACATGTCTTCGACTTGCTGTCTGTTCACCGATGTTAAAGAAGAGGAAGGGGGTGTACCTACAAAACACTCTGATGCTAAAGTAAGCGTATGGGCAGAGTGATCACAAGTACATAAAAGGGGTAAGAAGTGAATTACCCGACCCTCTTGTGAAAGAGGGTATTTATAGAGAGACCCCAACGCTGAGCCAACGGTCACTTGCGTTGGGCTGGATTGTCAGGCCCAACCCAGGTGACTGCTAGGGCTTACGTGGCGTAGTGAAGACCAGGACGTGGTCTTCGCCCTAGTTCAACTGTCCCGTGATCTCCGGAAAGTGGGTTTGACCTGCTCTTTCAGAGGTGGGCAGTTGGTCGGTGAGGGAGCGAGGACTTGATGGCGTTGTGTCGGGGAGGGAGAACTCTCTGGCTCGTGCTTAGCGGGGACGCAAGTACGCGAGTCCTTCCTCGTCGTCGGGTGTCCGGGCTTGAGGACACGTGTCGGCGGGAAGACATGAGGGGACGCGGCTGTCAGCCTTCGCCACGTGTCATACGCTGGGTGGCCGCGAGGGCGACTACCCTAGGGTACTCGAGTGCCTAGCGACGCTTCGAGTCCCGTGTTGGGGTATAAGTAAGCGAGTCCCCGCTCATTCTCCACTTTTCTCCCTCTTTCTCTCAAACTCTCTGCCTTGCCGCCTTGCTACCGTCTGATCTCTCCGTCGCAGCAGCCGTCACGTACTCTGCCGTAGATCAAAATATAGTAAGTTTCTCTTCTCCTTTCTTCCGTTTTTCCCATTTGTTTTAGGACTGTGGTCGGGGCATGTTGAATGCCCCGAGGAGAGGTGAGGATCTCCGCCGCTGTAGGGGGGTTTTCTAGGGTTTTACCGTGAGCGTTCCGAGGAGAAATGCCAATCCCGATTAATGCCCCGGGGACAGATGCTTGTTTCAATGAATTCCCCGGGGAAAGACGCTTACTCCGATGAACGTCCCGGGGAGCGACGCCTATTCTGATGAATGCCTCGGGGAGAGCGTGTAGGTTAGGTTATGCCGGTTCCCCGAGGAGGTGATAGGTTTTGGGTAGAGCCACTGGGGACGATGCTCGGTCTGTCCTCGTCACCCTTTCACTTGACTTGCGGTGGAAGGGTGAATTTGATCTTTGTCATCGAATTCACCGTTACCTTCTGCTTTTCAGGTGTTAATGACTATGTTTGTCCCGGGGACAATGGTCGAGGACAATAAATCAGACGTTCCACACTTCGACGAGCACGCCCTTCCCCTAGAGGAGTGGGTGGCCGATGAGCCTCTGTCCACGCCTTTCTGTTTCGCTTCTGACCCGACGGGAGCCTACGCCACCATGGAGGATCGAAGAGAAGGTGACCCCCAGAATTGACAAGTTTATCGTCCTCGGGCGGGCCACCGAATCTGCTCGAAGTACGGGAGGATGCGATTCCCGATGTACGAATTCTATTTTAAAGAGGCCAGACTCAGGCTGCCGTTCTCAGACTTCCACCTGGGCCTCTTCGATTGGCTGAGGTTGGCCCTCTCGCAGCTGCATCCGAATGCCTTGGCTTTTATTCTGGCATTCGAGGTCGTGTGCTGTTATCTCCAGGTCGGCGTCACGCTGCTGCTATTCTTCCGCATCTTCCATCTGCAGCGGCAGACGGTGAATGGCCGGCATGGCTAGGTGTCGTTCAAGCAACCGGACAGGCTTTTCAAAATGTACATGGACTCTGTTCGGGACTTCAAGGGTCGTTTCTTCATCGTCAGCTCGATCACGCATGCGGGGGTTGACTCTTTATATTCAAAAGGGGAGCGGATTGTGGATGGCCAGCGGGAGGCCGTCATGCTGCCGCGGGTGCATGTGGAATGGTCCTCGGAACATTTCTCTCGGGGGACATACCGGTACATAGTGCGTGCAGGGTCGCTTGACGAAGAGGACATGGCCGGCTATTTGAAGATAGTCTCGTTCGTGCGCAGCCTGCCGCCGTCAAAGTTGGTGACCCCTGACGACCGGTACATCCTTGATAGCCAGGGGAATGTCCGCGAGACAGCGAGGTTGATCAATACAAAGGCTCTGCTCGAGTGTTCCTCGGAGGTGGAGGCCCTTCGCTATCTAGGTGGTGGACGCCTCTCCCCTCTCAGGATCTGGTACTCTTTATCTGTTATTGACTCACTTTCTTTGTTTTGCAGGGAACATGTCTTCCGTCGAGGAGCGGGTGAAGAAGTTGCGCGCGTCGAGGGTTGCTGTCCCTCCGAAGACGCGGGTTGGCCAGCTGGTCGGGTAGGCTTCCGCTGATCAGGATGGCCGGGGGTCATCGTCTCCTCCCAGCAGTCAGTCGCCCACATCCCAGGGGGCCCCGAAGAGGCCCAGAGTCCAGGAGGTGCAGACCGTGGTCGACTTATCAGCGGATTCTACCGAGGAGGGTTACTCCATCGCGCCTTGCCATCAGCACCCTGGTTATTTCCATGGGGCCAGGTCGCCCAGTATTCCGGCCAGGGAGGCGAAGGCGGCCTTAAGCACGGACCGGGCTACGCATAGGCAGGTTCTGACGGAGGATTTGGCTGCCCTGATGGGAACTTTTACCACGACGATGGTTCTGAGCGAGGAAAGCTGCTCGGCCGTCGAGCTGTCCAAGCTGCAGGGGGACCTCTCTTTCACGTAGTCTCGTCTGAACAAGGTCGTCGAGGACCTGGAGCTGAATCGGGGAAGGGTGACTCAGCTTACCGAGGAGCTAGAGAAAAGTCAGGGGGAGGCCGCCAGTGAGCGCAAGAGGGGGGATAGCGCCGAGGAGAGGCTGGAGGCCGCTGAGGAGGAAGTGCGGGCACTGAAGGCTTGCATGGAGAAGCTGGAGGGTGGTCTTCGTCCTGCTGATGATGAGACCGACGAAGACAGGCAGATGGTTACCCGGGCTAATCTGCTCGCCAGGATACGGGTGCTGGAAGGTGACTGTCTTGAGGCTTTCGCTGCGGGTTTCAATGGTGCTGTCGCGCAGCTTAAGGTGGTGAACTCTGGCGTTGCCTTGGTCGAGGACGACATCGGGCCTTTCCACGAGATAATCGATGGTCGTGTGGTCGACCCCAGCGCCGAGGAGGCTGGTCCCAATGTCCCTCCCGTCGAGCCTGAAGCGGAGGAGGAAGAAGGAGCATAGATTAGTTTCGGGTCTGCATGCCAAACAATTTGTATTTTTCTAAGTGTTTTCTTTACCGGGCTTGTGTGCCCTTCTTGGTGATGTAATGTTAACTAATGGGCTGGTGCCCGCTTTTATATGGTACTTTTGGAAATTTGATTAAGTGTGCGCTTTGTTTTGTTTTTGCATGGTGTTATGCTCGTTTTATTTTTGCACTTTTGTATGCTCGGGATATATGTTTGTATGTTTTAAAACGCATGTTTGTTACGCTTTAGGGCCCATCCAGGGTGGTAGCTCGACGATAATTGTCTCTGGTAGTGTGGATACCTGGCCGGTTGGCCGGTTTTGATACCTGGCCGTTTCGAGGGTAGTTTCTCCCCGCAGCGTGAACGTCCCATCGCGAGCTAGGTGTCCTGCCGATTCTGGTACAGCGACGGGGAGTCTCGGTCGAGGGATTCTCCGTCGAGCAGAGCCTTCTACCCGCACACACAAAGGCAGGGCTTGCTGTTTTGCTGGTCTCTAGAAGACGCGAGGAGGTGCGGTGGTACCATGTCGCCCCCCTGTGGTCGCGACGCATAGGCGTAGCGGGCAGTGTTTAACTGTAGTACCGTTTCAGCTTCTCGGCGTTCCATGGTCGAGCTAGTTGTTCCCTGTGTAGGTTTTCGAGGCAATAGGCCTCGTGCTTCGTCTTGTCGCGGACACGATATGGGCCT